TGCAACGTTATCGTCCTGGTTTAGCATTTACAACCTTAGCCTGTATATCTACCTCATTTGCGCAGCTACTCAATCATGCTTATCTTTCTGCAGTTGTAGCATAACCACAAGATTATTCGAAGTAATTATGGTTTTAACTAAACCACTTGCTCAATAACTAAAATTTGGCGTGTTTCTGATAATCAAATAATTGTACAATATTATACCTTCATTCAATAAATAAGTACTTAGCAGATGTGAAACGCAAATGTCAATTTTTTAGTTGTGTTCCAACAACGAGCGGAGAAATCAGCAACACGACATCTATTCGGAAACGCACGAAACAACAGGCGGAAAGTTGCAAGTTATATAAATGTTATACATAGCGCCCTGGCCATACAATCAACACACACACGCGCGCACACACACATACACACACACACACACACACACACACCACACACACACACACACCACGCACGCAGCGCACACACACACACACACAACACACACACACACACACACACACACACACACACACATACGCACATCCATACGCAGACAGACATAGACAGGACGCACACATGTTCGCCAAACCTGCGCGCGTTCACGGTATGCGCGCAGGCACGAACACAGAAAATCACACGCGCACAGATTTCACGCGCGCGCGTCGCACGCCCTCGACACACAGACAGACTGATTTCGCAGAACAATAATACAACCCAATTCATTCACGTTATTCTTATTTACATACATTTTTACCATCGGATATTTATTTGTATTATATATAATTAGAATAATGAAATATCTTTACTAGATAGTTAACCGTTATATTCCTATAAAAGCTTTAATACGACATATAATAAAAAAATATATATAAATATATCAATGAAACACCTCACACAGGGTTACACCGTGCCCACCACACCACACTCCGCGCGCACGCACACACACACGCACGTACACACAAACAGCAAACACACACACGGCGCGAGCGCACACACACACACACACACACAAACAAAAACACATACACACACAAACAGACACACATACACACACACAACACACACAACGACACAACACCACACACACACACACGAACACACACACACGCGCGCACACACGCTCACACAATCATGCACACACGTAACACACCACACACACGCGCGCACACCTACGCATCCACACACACACACACACACACACACACCACACAACCACACACACACACACAACACACACACAACACACACACAACACACACACACACAACGCGCGCGATTCTAGGACAACTACCTCTGGCAATTACCCACCGGACAATTAGCCCCCCCGGACAATTACCCACCAGAGGACAATTAACCCACCGACGATTACCCACCGGACAATTACCCACCAGGACAATTACCCACCAGACCAATTACACCGCCGGACAATTACACCAGAACAATTACCCACCAGGACATTACCTCGCAGGACAATTACCCACCAGGACAATTACCACCAGGACAATACCCACCAGGACAATTACCTCACCAGGACAATTACGGCCACCAGGACAATTACCCACCTAACCTCCAATAAGGGAAAAATTCCCCTTCCGTAATTTTTTTGTCGCGCTGAAATACATAATGTATATCTGGAAAGAGAGAAATGCCTACCCCATGTGTTCAGAGAACAGCGGCGTCGATAATTGGGACGGGGGGAGGGAGTCGCCCCCTACCCCTCCTATAATGACTGAAAATGTTGTAATCCCCAAATGATCTGCTCTTTACAATGTATGTTATGTTATGTAACTGTTTGTGCGTGTGTGCCAGGAGGGTCGTAAATCCGGGGGAGTGGCGGGATGCAACCCCCCGCGCCTCTTGAAGGAGCGGGATGGCCTGTAACAATATATCTACGCCTGAGATTCAAAAAAAGAGAGAGAAAAAAGAATAGCCACGTGAAATTGTGCAGAAATGCAATTGTAATAATACATTTAGAGAAATAACAATTTGTAATAATACATGTATTATTTACTATGTAACCTTACTGTGTACGCTTCTCTGAAAAGTCATGAAAAGTGTTTTGAATCCTAACTTGTAGGGTTGAGTCTAGGGTTCAGATTAGTGTCATCAGACATGAGAATATGGCCCACAGTATGCTCAGATTGCAGGAAAATGCTGAAATATGTCAAATTTTACATGCTACGGCACGTGCCAAACGTACGGCGTTGTCAAATTTGGCATTGTGCGTGCATGTATAAATGTATGTACGTGTTGTTTGTGTGCGTATGTGTGTGTTTGTTCCGTTTGTGTGTGATGTGTGTGCATGTGTGTGCATGTGTGTGTATATGTGTGTATGCGTGTGTGTGCGGTGTGTGTGTGTGTGTGTGTGTGTGTGTGTGTGTGTGTGTGTGTGTGTGTGTGTGTGTGATGTTCGTGCGGTGCGCAATCGCGCGCGTGTGCGTAAATAATTGTGGGCTTGTGCTCGTGCTAGTATGTGATGCGCTATCGCCGACCATCCCCACTCTTGCGGTACGGATTTACGCCCTGGATGTTATTTCATTGTATTAAGCGACCGAGAAATGTCTAGACATGTACGTGTGCATTGGTGGCTGC